AATAAATCAAAGAATATAAAATCAATTGTCATTTTCATCTGAAATACTCCTATTGTTGATAATTTGTAGACTTTCAAGCCTCAACAACTAATTATATGTGGAAAAACTCTTCAATTTATTTTAGGACTCAACATACATGTGCAATGTATGTGTAGAGAAAATATTATACTTAAAAAAGACGTAGAAACACTTTAAGTTAAAATAATTAATAAATTTAAAATATTTAAAAGGTAGAACATAAATGCAGTGATTGCATAGACTGATCAAAGAAAATTCACCCACAAATATAGCAAGATTGAGGAAGTCAATCATTAATTAGACTTTTTAAACTCAAATATTGAAATGAAAGAAATTTTTATAATTAGTATTTTCTCATTTAATAGGCTCATATGTATCGTAAATTCAGATAAGTCTGTCAATAATAAATTCAGAATATATATTGAATGGTCAAAAAAAATATCAAAAAGAAAAATTTCAAAGGGTTATAAAACCTATCACCATATTGATCAACTCGAGTATCTCTAATCCTTCGGTTAATACTCTCTAGACTCTCATGTATCTCTTTTTCTCTCAAGTTTTATAACTACGCAATCTACAATTTGGTATGTTCTTAATTATTTAAAGTGTTCTATTCTTCAAAGATGTGAGTTTTTGCAATTTTATCTCTTGTTTTTAATTCTCCTTCTAGTGTATGCATGAAGGCATCCAAGAAAAGAAACTTCTTGTTTTTCATCTTCTCCCAATTTTTTTCACTTTGGTAAAAAATGAGAGATGAGTGTATGAGTTACAGGGAATGGAAGAGAATAAGTGTTGGTCTCATTTTCCAACCTCTTCCGATTTTCTGTAACTTTTACACTCAACACTCATTTTCTGCCAAAGGAATTTTTTTTGGGGAAACTAGAAAATAAAATGTTTCTTTTTTCGAATTCCTTCATGCATGCTAGAAAGAGAATGACAAAAAAAAGAAGAGAAGTTGCAAAAAAATTGATTCTTTGAAGAATATAATACTTTGAGTAATTAGAAACTTACCCATTGGTGATTGCCTGATTACAAAACCTTAAAGAAACAGAGATACTTGAAAGTCTTGAGCGTACTAACAGTATGATTGGGGGTACTCGAGTTGATCGATATAGCGATAGGTTTTATAACCTTTTGAGATTTTTCTTTTTGATATTTTATTGACTATTCACTATTCTGAATTTACAGACGAACTTACTGAATTTATATCACATATGAGCTTATTAAATAAATTTTTTTTATAAGAATTAATTCATTTTTAAAATTTGAGTTCAAAAAATATAATCAATGATAGACTACTTAATTTCACCATATTTTTGGGTGATTTTCTTTGATCACTCTGTCGTGCATGAAATCATCGCAACTTGTCATTTTTTTAACGTTATACTTTAAAATATTTTAAATTATTGATTATTTTAATCTGTAGTGCGTTTATGTCATCTTTAAGTATATTATTTTTTCTACACATGTGTTGCACATGTATGTTAGGTTGTATAATGCACAATTCTGAAACCCACTTTAAAAAATATCAAAGAGGATTAGAAATTCCACAAGGAAAGTCACTTGATGTGACTTGCGCACATCCAAAAAATTAGAGGCCATATAAATAATAGTTTGCGATTAAAATAAAGGACACATTGATATATTACGGCAAAAAAATACTTTACCAATTAGGTCACTTGTTAAATTGTTATAATTACAAGTAAACTTCTTAGTAACATCTAGATCATTACAAATTATGATAAAATCTCATAGGAGTACTATTTTTCTTTCAAAGTTGACCAACCAAAATTTTTGCAAAGCCAATATTATCTCCATCATTATTATCACTCAATATTAGGAGTACTATTTATTTTTTCTCAAAATTAGAACTCTAATGTTTCCCCAAGTAAACAAAAGTTTTCTATAAATATGGGGTCCATTTTTTTACTTTTATAAATGATGTTAAAGAGCATTTTCTCCGAACTCTAATATTTCTCAAAGTTTACGATAAATAATTGTATTGAAAGCATTAATTACCAGAAAATACACTTGGCATTTTTTAGTAATGTTGACAATGTATTGCATTCACAGGGCGGCTCAATATGATTTACGGCCTATGAAATAGAAGAAGTACTACATTCACACAGGGGCGGCAGAATATGATTTGCGGCCTAAAGTAAAATTTTAAATGAAGCCTTAGTTTTTTTTCTCAAGAAAAAAAATGATTTTAATATTTAATATGTTTAAATTTTATTTTTATAGCTTTTGTGATGCAAAATTATGAGTAAATTTGTTTTATGATCAATTTTATCAATTTTAATTTTAAGAATTTTTTTTTCATTCGAGACCGTTGTTATTCAAACTCTATAAGCAATATATGCATTTGGAAATTAATAAAATATTCGGATCTAACTGAAATATTTCTTACCTTTCTACTCCCTATGTCCCACACGTTCATTAAGCAAAATAATAAATATAGGATATAGCTTACTAAGTTATTCCTAAAATATTTTGTTTCATCTTAAAAATTAAGTGCTTCTATATTTTTCCATGTAAACTCTCATACACAATAAGTTTAGGCATATGTCACTATAAAATATGTGTAATACTAATATATTCAAATTAAATACGAAACTATATATCGTAAGTTTATTGATGAATGAGAGATTACCACCAATAATATTAATTTAGAGTCCCAAATATGTTACTTATGTGTTTGCATACAAAACTTAGTGGTTGGATTAGGTGATGAGTCAAGAAAACTCAAATTCAAAAGAAATAAGAATTCAAAAGAAATAAGAATTAGCTTGAGACCAAAACGACTTATCTAACTACTCATGTAATCAAAATCATAATTAGATCATCCAATTGCTACCAGATTTCCCTAGACTTCAATGGCTCTGATTTCATCCAAATCTGGACTAGGTTGGAAAAATCCAAGTTACTACGAAAAAGTTTTCCAGCCCAAAATTTTTCCCCGTTAGCTTTTCTATAACGACGGGAACATGTCCTTACATTTACTAACATTTACAATGTATTAAATTCACACAGGGGCAGCTAAATATGATTTGTGTCCTATGGAACAGAAGAAGTACTACATTTACACCGAGTCGACTCAATATGATTTGTGGTCTAAAGAAAAATTTTAAACGAAGCTTTAATTCTTTTTTTCTCAAGCAAAAATATGATTTTAATTTTTAATTTGTTAAAATCTTATTTTTATAGCTTTTGTGATGCAAAATTATGAATAAGTTTGTTTTTTGATCAATTTTAATTTTAATATTCAGCCGAGACAATTGTTATTTAAACTCTGTAAGTAATATATGCATTTGGAAAATAATAAAATCTTCGGATCTAATTGTAATATTTCTTACCTTTTTACTCCCTATGTCCCACACGTTCATTAAGCAAAATAATAAATATAGGATATAGCTTACTAAGTTATTCCTAAAATATTTTGTTTCATCTTAAAAATTAAGTGCTTCTAATTTCGTTCCATGTAAACTCTCTTACACAATAAGATTATGCATATATCACTATAAAATATGTGTAATAATAATATATTCAAATTAAATACGAAACTATATATCATAAGTTCATTGATGAATGAGAGATTACCGCCAATAATATTATTTTAGAGTCCCAAATATGTTACTTATGTGTTTGCATACAAAACTTAGTGGTTGGATTAGGTGATGAGTCAAGAAAACTCAAATTCAAAAGAAAATAAGAATTCAAAAGAAAATAAGAATTAGCTTGAGACCAAATGGATAAAGTTCTATTTTGTACATTCTCTAACACTATGAAAGCATTATTCAAACTCAACTATTATGAAGATAGCATAAAGTGTTGTTGCACCGACAAACTAAAAAGAGTATTATTTTAGGTTAAGTCCATTAACTTTAGATAAAAAAGTATTATCAAGTATCACCACGTAAAATTTGTACAATGAAGGTTTACAATTTATTGCTTGCTATTAGTTTAGGTATCATTGATTCCATGTAATTTAGTTAAACAATGTATGTAACCATAATATAGCGGATATTTTAGTTCCTTTTTAAAAAAAAATAATTAAGGCAAAATAGTCTGGGAGGCCCTTGTACTTGTTTCAGTTTGTGACCTGAGCCCTTTTACTTACGACTTTGCCAACTAAACCCTCGAACCCATTGAAACCCAACATTTTAAACCCTTTTTTTACCTGTCATCCCATGTGGCAAAAGTAGTTCAAGTGCGTGAATTACACCCACTTTAGGAGCGTGAGATACTTTTAAAAAGCCAATAACGGTCATTTTTGGCCATCTTCCTCAAATTCCCCTAATTTCGTCTTCAAATATCCAAAATTTCTTCTCTTTCTCACTCGTTTATCTCTCTCCAAAATTCTTCACTCCAAATTTCTTCTTGTTCTCCACAATCGATCAGGCCTAGTCTATATTTTATTTTTGTCGCCTTTTTCTTACTCGTTAATTTTTTTGTTCTTCACAATGACTGTTTGTTTTTGCTATTGTGGGCTTCATGCTGAACTTAAGATGTCAAGAACATCAACTAATCCAGGAAGAATGTTTTGGGGCTGTCAAAAATATTCAAATGGTAATGGATGTGGATTTTTTCGATGGGATGATATGGTTGATCCTACATACCAAGAACAATACTACATGAAGAATCAATCAACAAATGTTGATCATGAAAGGCATGGAAGACAGGGGAGATCGAGCATTAGTATTGATATCAGTGTTGTTGTGATTGTTGTCATTTGGTTTCTATCTTTTGTATTTAAGATGTATTGATGATTTGTTCATTTGAGTACTATGATAATGTAATATAATGTATGAAAATATCCAGATTAAGACTTATAATTATCATAGCAAATTCATAAGCAAAAATAACTTGTTTGTCTTAGCAAGTTAACACAACAGTTGAAAATTAAGTTAGCAGTGGAAAGTATCATAGACAATGTCATTGAGAATTTAGCTAGGCAAAACATGAGTCTTTACTATGAAATATTATGTGTCTTGAGTGCTTGGTGTGAACTGAGTGGCTCGTTTGTAACTTTGTTCTTGTAGCCTTTGAATAACTGCAGATCCACCCTTCCACCTTAGTCCATTGGGTTTGTAACCAAGATCGATATTGGTAGACACTGAACTCTTCAATGTAGCACAATGTAACACTCTATCAGTAGTTCCAGACTGTTAAAAGGCAATAATGATATTAGTTAGAGATTATATAGAATCAAACTAAAGGTCCTTAAATGATAATACTTACCCTCTCTATCACACTATTTGGTCCAAATAGCACACCAAAACCAGCTGTTCTTGGCTTCTCTGTTCTTGGCCTTTTATATTCGAGATTTGCACCACCTCTTTTAACGTTGCTACTCCTCTTTGAGCCACTAGCACTAGTAGTTGACTGTTGAGTACTAAATTGACTTGTTGGTTGAGCAACACTTGCAAAATTTACAGAAATATTTGCAGCACTTCCACCAGTAGTTGTTGCAGCAGTAGTTGCACCTCCAGAATTTGCTGAAGTAGTGCTTGGTCTTTTAGTAGCTGCACCACCACTTCCATCATAACATGTTGTGGCAGTAGTTGCACCTCTAGAAGTTGCTAGAGTAGTGACTGGTCTTTTAGTAGCTGCACCACTACTTCCACCAGCAGTTACACCTGTAGAAGCTGCTAAAGTAGTTGCACCACCACTTCCACCAGTAGCACCACCAGTGTCACGACCCGAGGTTATACCCCGGATGCAACACGGCGTACTCGACCCCATAGATGTCTTATACAAGCCTCATAGCATTCTTGAACATCAGAGCATAGGAAAATAGAGAAGAATTTAAAACTTTCGTTACACTCGAAGACATTTTCATTAAAAAGCAAGCGGAAGACTTTCTAGACTTTGCCTCAAACCATCTAACACTTTGAATACAACATTGGGACTTAGCCCATACAAAAGCTTTAGCATAACTAAAAGACATAAAGGAACAAAGTGGGTTTTGTCCTCGAAACTATGAGGACTCACCAAGTCTTCATCTTCAAGCACGTTAGAAACCTACTCCTCAAGCATAGAACACCAATATCTCCAAACCCTACACTTTGGTTAAAATGGAGAAGAAATATGGGTTAGCACATTAGATGTACTAAGTATGGAAGCCATGCAAAAACCATGCTTAAAACGGGCATTTATTTGATAGTCATGCTTTTATGCATTTTTGATAAAACCTTCATGAACATAAACATAAGAGGCATAATATTCAACCACATCCAACATTCAAGTCATACTTTCACATTTGAACATAATCAACATTAAACCATTACCTTCACATTATACTTCACCTCAAGCAACCCTCAAACTATACCTTGTGCAATGTATGGGTAGCGTTCTATACCACCACCCACACTAAGGTACCACTTTAAGGTCACCAAAAGTGAACTTACCATTCGTCCTTTCGACCTTTACACAATAAATCATATAAGAGACATAAACGTCACATAAGTCACATCATCACATTAAAACCAACATCTAAGACAACTCTAAGTCATACTTGTGCAATGTGAAAGTAGCATCCTATAATACTACTTACATTAAGTACTCCTTTGAAGTCACCTTAGGCAAGGCACATTCAAATACATTAAGTCATAACAAGAAAGAAACTCATAATATCATCCAAGTATAGCATGCATCATTACATTAAGCATTTAAAAGTCAACATTCTTCAATAACTTCATTTAAAGGGCTTTCATACAATAGTCATTAAGACTTAGAGAACTCACTATAACCCTCTTGAAGCCTACTCATGCTATGTATGGATAACATCCCATACTACTACCCACACTTCATAGAACTCCTCAAGAAACTATAATGCACATCTCACATGATGGGAATAAGCGTTTAACCAACATAGACCATAAAAGCTAGATCATGGAAATAGTTTCATTAAAAAAAATTGTGGGGGTAAGCCTTAACCGACATAGAACATGTGAGCTTGACATGGAATCCCAGTGTCACCCTCACTGGATAAAGGGATTCCTACTTGCCTATGGTAGGACCATCATTTTTATAGCTTAAGTGGATCCACTAGCTAGACCTATGTGGGCACATAGTTATGTGATAGGGAGATTGCTACTAGACACCCCGCCTCAACTCACGGATGAGCATCATCTTAAGAGGTTGCTACTAGATACCCCGCCTCAACTCACGGAAGAGCATCCACCCCAATTCATATCCACTCGGTGCTTGACATTATTCCCCACGGAGTACTTGACATTCATTACATTCGTTCGTTATTATGGGATAAGATACTGCTACTAGATACCCCGTCTCAACTCATGGATGAGTATCCATCTCAAACCCAACATTCATTAAAATGGGATATAGTGATTGTTACTAGATACTCCTCTTCAACTCCCGGATGAGTATCCATCCCATCCCAACATTCATTCATTGGAAAGCTCATAGATTCAAAGATGAGAATAGCCTTTCACCTAAGAATCCCCTTATTGTGAGAAAGTCCTTTCACAATAAGTCATTATCATTCATTAGAGTACGATTGAGAATAACCTTTAAATAAGTACTTCATCATTAACATAATCATAGAACTTCATTCATTATTCATTCATGAGTGTGTGTGAGCATGTGAGAATAGCCTTTCACATAAACATCACCATTCATTAGGTCAATTGAAAATATACTTTCAATCACCACATACTACATTCTAAACATGATCATCATTCATTCATTTAGATCACACACGCATACTTCACATCATAATTATACATAGATCCTTTATATATAGACATACAAAGAAGAGATCCATCAATTCAATGTCACAATATACATAGTAAGTAAACACATCCACCTTTCAAATGGATCAATTGCTCAAGCACAATTCTACTTCAACAAGTAATTAGGTCATAACTTGCCTTTCAAGGCCATGAACCAACATCAACCCATAAATCTAAAGTACTACAATAGAATAGGAAATTCACATGATTCAATCACTTAATTCAATATAAACATCAATAATTTCAATATAAACATAAATAATTCAATAATCTAAATCAATCTAGACATAATCCATCAATATTCGTTCATGATCAACAAACCCATTTCATAAAGGCATAATTTAGGAATTGAGAGAATTCATGGGTTCATAGAGTATTTTCATCATAAATCATCAATTAAACATACAATCATAATTTGTCATTAGAAACCATTTGAAAATGTTTGATGAAAGAACCCATGAGATTGAGTAAAACCTTAAATTTTTCATGCTTTGAAATCACTTTTGAATTGGTTCCTTGAATGAAATATTAGACAAGGATCAAGACTACCATACCTTTACCAAGAGTCCCCAAGCAATTTGAGGAAGAACCACGTTGGAATCATCAAACCCTAGCTTCAATGGCTCCTTTCTTCTTCTTCTTCTCTAATAGAGGATTTCTAGTGAGAGAAATATTTGAGAGGATGTGGGTTTCTTTTTTATACTATTTGGAGCGACTAAAATGAGAGAATTCAGGTCTAAATAAGGTCTTATAGTTGCTAGGAAAGGAATAGAATAAGGTGGACTCAACTTTGGAAAAGAACTAAGGACCCACAAAGTTACAACTTAAAAATCTGCCCATTGCCCATCTATGCTCGCCCTTTGGACCCGTAGGCTCGCCAAGTGCACCCTTGGCTCACCCGAATTTCCAGTGAGCTCACAAGTGGGCAGATCATAAGGCGATGGAGGGGGGCCAATGGGCGACACGCCATCTAGCTTGGCGAGCTACGACTTAGCTCGCCCTTTGGTCCAGCACCTAGGCCAAATGGGCAGTCCACTAGGCGATTACAACAGCACAAGGGCGACTGGCCCAATCCTTTGGGCGATCAAACAACCCTATCGCCAAACAACCCCTCAAGGAACAAGGCTTCTTTCACCCTATCTTGCTAGCCTAGGCCCATGCTTGCACCCTAGGATTCTACCTTGCTCCATTTAGGTTCTAAAACAGTCTAGACATCAAACTAAAGTCACACTAAACCAAACGTTAAGGCTCTAGTTCAACCTATCATTTTCTAAGTCGTTACAACTAGTAGCACCACCAGTTACACTTGTAGAAGCTGCTGAAGTAGTTGCACCACCACTTCCACCTATAGCAATTGTTGCAGTTCCAGTAGTATAGCCATTTTTCTACATACAAAAATTTTCCAAACTGAATTAAGAAGTATTGATAAAAAATAAATTTCATTAACAAAGTTGAAAAAGTTAAAGCAAAACTTACAGCAAGTGGACATCCTTTCTTGTTATGTCCAAAATTCTTACACAAAGAACATTTTATTTTTCTCCCCTTCCTTGTAGCCTTTAAAAACTTCTTCTTACTAGGTTCATCACTATCTTTTGACCTATTTTTCCTTGGTCTTCCTGGCATAGAAGTGATTTTAGGTGTCTCATGGATGGTCTTCTACTCTTGGGCCACATCTTCATATTTGTCATAGGTTGAATGAACTTACTGTAGGCCTTCAAATATGTTTCCTTCTTGTACCAGTGATCAATAAATGACTAACATCTAGATCCTTGTAATGCATTGCAGTAATTCCATGTGGACAGGGAATTCCTTTCAGTTTCCATGACCTACAACTACACACTTTCTTTTTGAGATTGACAACATGTTTATATGGTGGATCCTGAATCTCATAGCCATTATCTTTATTAAATTTAACCTCACATATGGATGTATGTTTAGCATTCTCACTAAGTGTCACGCCCCGAGCGTATACCCTGGGTGGGACTGGAACTCGAGAACCATTGCTAGCCCCAAGCGAACCCTTGTCATGGCTACTTACTCAGTGGAAGACTTAACTCATGAAGAAAGATACTTTTAAAAGTAAACTGAACTGCTCAATAAGCACTTAGAATGTATCAAGATAACATTCACTAGCCAAAAATTGCAATTCAAGTCTCAACCATTAAAACAAGAAATAGAAACTCAAGAACAAACATCTGACTGTCTATGAAGCCTCTAAAACAACTGAGATGGATGTTGGGACAAGACCCCCGATCATCCTAACAAATGAAATACTAAAAAGCAAATGATAACAAATGAGCCCTCCAAAAAGCAAGGAGGCTCGCCATCATATACCTTGCCGAGAGTATAGAACCTGAACTACTAAGTGGATCCACTAGTCTATGCTAAAAATCACTAAGGAATCATCTAAAAAAGTATGACCCTTTTCTACCTATGATGGCTACATGGTTTATGGGGGCTGTGAGTTGTCTAAATTCTCCCCCATATCAGTGCTCAATACTACTCCCAAAATATGATACTTGCTCTTATATTTTAAAACATACTTATTTATGTGATTTGAGATAATTGCTCAAAAACTTAGCTCAAAGGCTATCTTGGAAAGTAAAGTTTCCCCTCTTTCTTAATTGTGAAAGCATTTTCTCTTTTCTGAAAACTAGCTCAAAGGCTCTTTGAAAATCAAGGTTTCCTTTCTTGTTTCAATGTGAAAAACATTTTTAACTCTTTGGGAATACATAGTCCCCATGTACTTTGAAGAAATGAACTTCAACTTTACTCTTTACTCAACTCAAAACTCAAGTCTTAAAACAAAGTTAAATCATTTGTAAAAGACTTTTTGGAAGACTCTATGAACTTCTCTTGACTTGGCTCTTAACATCTCTTGACTTGACTCTTAACTGATCCTTGAATTGAATTATGGATTCAAGGATTGAGATTTTTTTATAGGAAAGATGTCATGATGTTTAGGAGTGTTTTTAGATAGTTAAACAC